CTTTTCGAAGCGACAGATGGAGAGAGAATTTGTAGCACTTCACTAGAGTCTCGAATACGGGTCTCGGATAGACAACAAACATCAACATTAAGACCTTCCAAAGACATAGCCAGCCCTATCTGTTGTCTGATATGCATTAGTGTGCGAACGTTGAAGGAAGCCAGCTTGAACGGCGTACGTGGTTTCAGAAAGACTGCTTCAGTATTCATAATCGGTGGAAGCATTCACTTTCAACCAGACAGTGACTGGAGATCGTTTAGATAGGACAGATTTTCCACCAAGAGCGAGCTGCTGCATAAGTTGAAGAGTAAGGTTACACAAATTGGGGATAAAAGGGGGTGAGTTAGCGATATGGTAAATAATAATAATAATAATAATAATAATGATAATAAAGGTAATAATAATAATAATAATGTAAATTGTCTTGCTTCTAGTATGAGCAGGAATAGTATCGTCAATAGAATTCATCATTTCATTTATTTGTGTGTGGGCTGTGATACTGCCCGGGTGCCCAAACCGAAGCAGGTGGTTTTCTTAGGGGGCCACACCCCGAGCCTTTGACCAAAGGGTCTGATCCACAAGGCAGTGGAGCATCGTGAGGAGATGCAGTCCCATCGTAGCCGTTGACCAATGACAGGTTCGTCCGCCATTCGTTCCATCAGGATCCTGGAGCCCATGTGCACCATTGGTTTGGAATCAGGGTTTTCCAACTCCCCTAGGTGGACTCTCCGTGTCCACCAACCCGGTTAAAGCGCCGGACATCCGCTTTTCGTCCTCTCACTTTCGTAAACAACACCTGTGGCACGAGAAGGCAGTGAGTAGGACTTCTCTGGCAGAGGCTATATATTCGCTGGCCATGTGAGAGCATTTCGAGAGGGAGAGTAGACTCTCCCCACTCTCGGCCGTACCAGGGCATTTGGGGGCGATTTTGTCATTAAATTACTATACTTCTACTCATTACATTACAAGATCAAAAACTGTGATCCACTTACGTCATCTTGGAAAGCGTAGTGGAATCATTAGCCTTAACACATATAAATTGACTCAAAGCCTAGTTTTTCAATCTTCATTTGCTCATTAAGTTATATCAAATTAAATTTCAAAAAACCACTTTAATTAGTTACGTATAACTGTTTTTAAAATACAAAATCATAAAAGTGAATAAATTTGCTTATATGATTGGCAATTTAATTAAGATGAAGTTTAATTTATATTTTATTCTTCTCTCCTTAATATATGAAATACTTTATCTTGATTGTAAATAATTCATCAAGTGCATATCTTTATATTACAGTGTAAAAAACGGTTTATTCAGAGAATATGACGGTGCAAGAACTCTTAATGATCTTAGAGTTTATGTGAAATCTGAAAAATATGAAAATGAAACACCTTTACCATGGTATTATTCACCAGCATCTTTTCAGTAATTTCTACTTGTTATTCATAATATTTTTCGTCTACAAATCATATAGTATGCGCATTTTCATACGTTTCATGGATCTTGGCGTTTTTATTACGGTTTGTATTGATAATTACATTTAATTGTTTATTAACCTAATTTATTTATAGAATACTCATCAAGCATTTTTAGATGCTGGTTATAGTAATTGGATGTCATTTTTAATCATTGGTCTATCGACTATATTTTGCGGACTATTCATTGGAATTGTAAGTTTTTCAAAACAAAAATATTTATTTGCAATTTTTTTCTTTTAGATACTGGTAGTGATTTTTGATTGTTTTTTCCCACCGCGTCCACAAATCCTAAGATTTATTAGGAAACCAAAAAAAGTGGAAGAATCGGTGAGTCTTGCTTTTTTTTACCATGACTTAATTATTCATTTAGTTTGTCTCGCATAAATGACGTTGGCTTAATGATTGGAGCATGTGATTTTTACTTAGTAGGGTGTTATTTCTAACTCAACCCCTAATTCAGTTTGGATAGTCGAGCAGAGTACAACTACCTCTCATATAGACAGTATCACTCAAAGCGGATGTTATCATTTCTCTGATTACGGTCCAGCTATTCCTATTGTTTAGTATTCTTGGACACCAATTCACTCGACAAGTCCTCAAATCAGAACACGGTTGGACAGGAAAGAAATTATATTCCGAATAACAAAGGTAGATGGAAGTAGAGATTTCAATAAGAAAAACGTTAGTATATTCATAGTTTTTATACTAGAAGATTCCAGAGAATTCTCCAAGTGTCCACTGGCGCTGATTGGATAAGAATTAGCCAATCAGCGTGCACTAATTCAATCTTGCACGGAACATGCTTCATTCCAATCAATGTCCCGCTAACAGCGGATTATATAACTTCATACTAGGTGAATAGATCACATTGTAATGTTTTCATTACTAACGAGCCATTATTTATTGATTTAATGGTAGAACTCACGACATCTAGCATGGCAATCAACGAAAATTCTAATAGGGAGTCAAATACTAATGATCGTTACGTAAATTGGGTAAAGGAATTTAATAATTACATAAGAGGGAAACAGCACAGGCAGATTTTAATAATTTTGCATTAAGGAAAATTCAGCGTTGATTTTGTTGATGACCACTGTTGAGAGGGCAGTTTTAAAAATTCCTTGCAAAGCCACTCATTTGGTTTGTTAAGATGGCTATTAGTAAATTCTAAGTAAAGACGAAATTAGTCGACTGCCATTTTATTCTCATTACGCAGACGATTTCGTTATACGTACTAGTAAGATGACCAATCTAATAGCGTTCATCCGTCTATCGCGTTCACTCTAGGTGAAGAATTTAATTATAATATCACTTTTTTAAGTGTCTTGTTAATAAGGCGATTAAGCGGAACATCAAAAGGAGCTATGTACAGGAAATCAACGTCAACTGGTCAGTCTACTTGTCTTGCACCTAATGAAAAGTCTAACATATCGCGACAAACGTATTTATTTTGATCAAATAATTGGAGATGAGTTAAAGGATACTCACAACTTACTGTGAACATATATCTAATAAAAGTGTATTGATATTTAGGAACTAGTTTTAGGAGTACCTATTACTTTTAGTCATTGTTATTTTCGAATTTTGTGTTGGTCTCTGGATAATGTCTGTTGATAGATTGCATTATATATCCGTTCAAACTGAGTTACAGTTGATATGAAGTTATTTATGTAGAGTAAATCGAAAATCTAACTTTCGCTACCGTTTATTTTATTCTCACAATTTGACGTAGTATACTGCTAAGGCAATCATAGGATCAGTCAATCTTTGTCAGTAGTTTTATGTCATACTAGTAACCGTAACTACTAATACTTCTTTCTCAATTCAATTTTTCGCATAACCTTTACCCTTTTCCGATTGGTTGTCACTACTTTTAGTTTGCTTATTTATTGTGTGCTCGGAAGTCATGTTTACGTTACTGAGTTGTACTATTTCAGGCTGCCCGAATATCATGTTTTCTTTACCTTTCTTTTCCCTGTGTTATCGGCTAGTTATGTGCCCAACTGCCGTTATAGAGTCCGCAACATAACCGCTCGTATTAGTATAACTCAATTTTTAATTCACAGGTATCTTAGGCAAACCAGAAACCCTGACACTCAATTGTGTTTATCAAGACATGATATGTTTTCGTATGCGATGAAATCACATTCAGAGAGTACTATTGTATCTCTTTTAATTTAATATGTTCTTCAGATATTTTAAACTAACTTTCTCATTTTTTCAGTTACAGTATGAAACAGAAAAATCCACGTCAAATGTTCACGATGACGATGTATCGGAGGAAAATATAGGTGATGAGATTACGGAAATTCGTCAAAGGAAGGTCGATAATAATGAAGTTCATGATTCATAATCTGATGTATTGCACATATATTTACTTATGCTTAGTCTCTTCCTAATATCACTGTTTCACTTTTCTCAATTGCTTTTGGTTTTCTAACTTCCCTGGATAACTTTTACACATCCTATTCGTTATCGAATTAGACCATTTTAATCTGACACGATTATTCATGCCTTAGCATGTAAATTGTAAGAGTTAACTGAATGTAAATATTAGCACATACGGGTATGATGGATTATTAATAATGTATTGAAAGTAACCTGGTCAAATTGTAAACAACTTGTTGTATGTTTAAATTACACAAGTATAAGAAATCGTAATATTAGCGGTTTTCCGGTTATGGTACTATTGTATAAATTCCAACGAGTTTTCTTTCCTTTTGTTCTACAGGAAATTTGACATTAATGAATTGGAATAGCTACTTTAAATATTTTTGACCACATGGAAAATTTTATTTCAACTTCTTTTATTCATAAAAACAACTAATCCTATACATAAGAGACAGTTTACACTGATCATCCGTTTCATAAATTAGTAGATTTAATTAATGTTCATCTATCTCTTGTTTGCTCTTAGTTACGGAATACTTAGCAGGGAGTAAATAGCGCTTACAGAGATCTTAGTTAAGATTCAGTGTTTTGTTACTACAGTTGACACCGCATAAAAATCATGCTGATGTCAATATTTTAAGTTTATTAGGTCATGTATTTTCATAATGTAACAAACTCAAACAAGCAATTCATAAAATGTGGAAAAAAATTTTCATCTCATCAGATTGAAACAGCTTACTGGTATATAAATTACTTTAAAAATTCTGTTAACAAGGAGTCGGGAATAAACAAGATTAATGCTTGTTTTGGAACGATTCAATCTGCCTTAAAAAGCATATATTATAGGTTTTATTAGTAAGTTTCTTCATGTCCTACTTTTCTCCTAATATGATTGCATAACCCAACGTTGTTAATATTCCCGGCTGTTTTTTTTGAATATTGCATGAAGTTAAGTACGCTAAACAACCACCCCAATAAATAAAGAGTAAAACCCGAAAGTTATTACCTCCAATGGTGTGTTACGCTTCAAATCAGAGCAGTAATACAACAGGGGAATAAAGAAGTAAAGATCACTTAAGTTACAGGAATTCTAGAAAACAACCAAAGCTATCACAAGACTGCTAATAATTAAAATGATGGACAAAAACACAGATGACTCTTGTAATTGTCAAATGAAAGAAATTAATAATTTATGCGCTCATAATCTGGTGTTTCTCATAAGCGTCAGTTTTTCTGACAAATCAAAGCCTGGAAACAGTTCATCACCTAACACAATAGTTATGATAATGGATAATGATGACGTTTCTATGGAAGTCCAAGTACCACAAGCTGAATTCATCACTACAGATGAATAACATAAATAACATGTTTATTCCAAAAATGCGAATCATTTTCTGTTATGCGAAACGAAAAAAATCATTTGTATTTTACAAAATCGTCTGTAAGAAGTTTCGTAACGACACTGTTTCACAACTTATCAGATAATAGCGGTGTGTTGTGCTGTAAACATGGTTACATAGTAATCAATAAGAAAAGGTGAGTCTTTGAAATGCAGAAGAATTCGTGATCATAGTGGTCGGGAAATTAGATATAACGGAAAGACCCTATAAAGCAAGGTTAAAACTTGGCCAACTTCCGAATATTATGAAATACATGACAAGATATTGAATTACAAAGCGATATGCCTCAGTGCATTAATACATCGATAGGCTCAAACAACAAGTACGGTTGCTACCTCATTGCCTCTCGTCTTACTGAACTGCGGAAATTTCGAGACCGCACTGCAAATTATTATCTAACAGAAACACATTTCCGTGTACGCACATCTGAAGTACAGGAAACTTCAATGTGGTCAGTGAACAGCTTCAAACAGCAATGCCTAATTGTTATGTAGTAGCGAAGACATAAGTACGGGTAACTTGCAGGACCTACTATTGGACTATCATTCTTACTGTATAACTATTCGGTAACTAGATTATCTAAGCTTTATTTTGACCTATTGATTATTACTATATGATTTACTGTCCCTATGTTATACTCAGTTTTATTGATTATTGTCTTCCACGCTTACAGCCTCATTTGGCCTGGTTTTGTACAAATATTATTTTCTATTTTATGGTGTGGATGTGGCCTGTCTGTCTGATATATAAACAAAGTATGCTTGAAATAAACGATTCGCATTACAGCAACTGCTATTGGTGTTTTGGACTCAAGTGGACGGGTTAGGCGGATAAGGACCAATAAGGACGCTAGATTACTCATACTAATCGAACGTCATTGTCACAGTGTGAAGGTCGTAGAAGGCGTATTCTATTGGTGGATGATTTACGCGAATTACGTCCTTGTTAAATTCGTAAGGTCATAACGAATCAGCGACGACCTTGATCAAGTCATAACAATTGGCTACCGCCTAGGTCAAAAACATAACTAATTGGCGACGGCTAGGTCAAGTCATAACACTAATAAACCTACCTCCTGTCACGAAAAGAGGTAACGGTTGCGAATATTATTGTTCGTGACTTTCCTTGTGATGTAAATCGCTTACTGTAATGGGTACCGCTACAATCATTTGTATATGAATACGGAGATTGTTCACTGAATTTAGTGACAAATAGTTAGGCTGCTTAGAGTTTAAATTCAGAAATTAAATCAAGCTTAGTATACAAGTCGCACCAATTAAGTGGCATAATCTCTGTTGTATCCGATCTGTTCTAACTATAATCGAAATTATCCTTGTGTGCTTTATTAAACAGACTGAGTAGGTTCATGGAGTGATTATGATTGTTGCAAATAAGTTATAGAATTTACGATGGAACATGAAGTTGAAGGTAAATTCCATTTCTTGGATGTTGAAATCAGACGAACATCAGTTGGTACATTACAATTACTACAGCTTCTGTCCATTGAGTTACAAAAAGGGTATTTTACGAACCCTTTTTGACCGCGCACGTAAAATCTGTTCAAATGAATGCCTGGAAGAAATTGTTCTAATCACTCAGTGAAAATGCATATCCGGCGAAATTCATCCATAAATATGTAAACACCAACCCTCATGTAAAGTATGATAGAGTGGAAAAGAAAACTTGTTTCCTATACTTACGCTTCTAAGGAGATGAAATTACTGGAATTATTAATCACAGAATTAATTCCGCCTTGTTAGTGACCTACCCAGCAGCAAACCTGACGACGATGGGGGAAACGAACTGCTCACTCAAACTAAAATCAACAAGTCCCCTTTTCTTAGTAGCTCTAACTGCATTTACGAATTTACATGTACGTGCCAAAGCACATACATCGGAAGAATCGAGAGAACAGTACATGTTCGCATTTCTGAGAATATTCCGAAGAAACGGGCTGCGAGGGACCAGGGCTCTCAACAGTTTACTTGACACCGGGCATACTATTGTAATCTCTGATGTTTTCAAAATTATTAGCAGACAAAGAAGTATGGCTGCTCTCCAGTTTGCTAAAGCGATCGCGATAAAAAAAAACTTAAATCAGATCTACGCATTCAAAGAGAGACAGTAATAAACCTATTACCCTGGTAATCCAGTTTTTGTTTCTGGTTATTATTTATTTTGTATTATATTCCTCTTCCATTATCCAATTCTTTAACCGCATTTCCGCTCACTTGATTCTCTTAAATTATGTGAACTTTTCAAATTCTATTTAATTATTACGTAACCCATCCTATTTGTTTTTAATTCCATGACTCCTTTATTACCTCTAAAATTATCACACAATTTATCTTATCTATCTCAACTATTACACCACCCATCCTTTACGTTTCCTTGATTCTAACACCTAATAACCTCTGACCTGTTATATATATACGTATTTGGTTGTAAGCAACTGATGAGAAACCACGAAATATAATGAATTGATAACATTCTGCATCAATATTTGTTCTGGCTTTATTCAAACTTTAGAAGAAATGTGTCATTTTACTTAATGATATTAAATTTGATTTTAGTTACTCAATTTTGATATATACCTGAGTATTAGTTGTCGTAATATTTTTCTTTCTATGGTAGATACAATTGCACGCTGGACGCATCATTAAACATTCTCCACCTATTCTATCGAGTCCTATCCCAGGTCTTAGCAAAGATGTTTGGTAGAAATCAGTACTCTTTCGCTGTGATGTGCCAGGCAACAACCTAAAGCCATACGCCTTATGATGATGAAGACTGATCAACCCCGATCAATCTAAAATATACTATCTACACAATTTATCACTCAAAAAAATGAAACATTACGTAGCCATGAATCTAATTAGATTCTATAAGTATTGGATTTTTTCTCAAAAGTACATATTTCTGCACAGTGCTATGTAGACAAAATACTGATATAGTAAACAAATAAATCTAGTCATTAGCGTATACAAAATAAACATACACAAAATTTCGACCCTGAACAAAATAGGGAAATAATCATTCCACATAGGCGTGAATCATTAAATCCAGCGATAATCAAAAAGTATCAAATACCAGTTTCTTTAGAAGTGAATGTAAACAGGCACTTATTACAAAGTACTAACAAAGTTCAGTAGATTGTTGTAAACAAGACAAAATATTGACAAAGTTATTTTTGTTTTCAAAGCTATCTTATGATGACCTGGTTCGATAACTTTAGGCATACAATAAGAAGTTTATGATATCAATTTTAAAATGTTCGGCTAAGGTTAATTACTCCGCAAATTTATTCTTTGACGATTATCTACTTTCACGGTTGAATAGCGGTTCAACTAAAACCCAACAGTTAGAAGCAAGAAAAAACGAAGTATGCCAAGACTAGAAAAACGGAAACAAATTATGCTATTTGATAAATAAAAAGGAACGAATCGAGTGAAGGAATTTCTTTTCAATTCGTTATTCATCATAGCTCTACACTAATATATATATATTAGAAATGTCAAAATGGGAATTTTCACTATTGAAATTATGCTATGGTTGGGAAAGTCTGTCATACTACGAAATGACTTCAGGGATGGTGAGACAGCTTTGAGGATTGATGTTTGCACTAAAAAAGGATTTATCAGCACCCGTGCTGGTCTCTTTGTACTAAACGAAATGTGAGCTTCCATTTGACGCACAAATTGTTGCCATACATTTTTCCGTTCATAAATTATAGAACTATTACTGAGGCTTTGTAACACAAAAATCCTAATTATTTACAAATTATACTTCATTATTCCCGCTGTGTTGTGAACTTTTATTGCATGTATGTGATCACCTGAGTTTAATAATAATAAAAGGTACTGTACTAGCTTGCTAGTGTTCTGGTTGAGGACTGGCAGACATTTGTGTGGCCAGATTGGTGTAAGTATATTCCTTAGCCGAACTGAAAAATCAGTGTTATTTGAGTAAACGGGAAATACAACAGCTCTGACCAATGATTTTTGTGTGATACTCACTAACTAATAAAAACGAAGGTGGAGTTCAAACTTGAAACCCGATAGCCGAATGTTAAGTACTGTAATGACTAACCTGCACCCTGGTAAAAATTAGATATAAATTTAATTTTTCTTTTCACAGAAAAAAACGCGTACATATTTTATCATACATCTAAGCAATAAAAAAGGATAAGCTCATTTAACAGGAAGAAAAATCCAATTACAATTATATGGTTGTGAATTATACTGAAGAGGTTAAAGTGACAGCATACTTTTGGATTTGTATACATAAGCGAATGAATTAGTTGGTAAGCAAATAATTAATTCAATATCGGAACGTTCATTTAGGAATTTTATCAGTAGTACAAATTATAATATGAAGTAAAATGTTTATTTATACTCACAATGTGTGGAGCGGAACCATGAATTCTTATAGAAACGAGTTCAAATACAGATATGTAAAAACACTGACCAGTTACAAAATGAAAAACAAATAGAGAAACGTTCAAACAAACCAGAAGAATAAATTTCCTCTGATCATACCAACAACAAAAAGTTAATTTGAACTAAAAATCAGGATGATCAGCGCTAAGGGGCGTTTAAGTAATTACAATTCAACGAGATTAAAATTTCATCAATCATAAATAAGTCGGTGTTGATCATTTCCCTCTCTCCATCACATTATTTTGTCTAGGATCAAACCAATGTTAAGCATGAGAACAAGTAACGAAACTACCAAATCAAATACTGATTAGTTCCTTCGGAGAAAGAACAATTTAATTGTAACCATCATTCTTACCAGTAATAGTTGTAAGGATTTATCGTTATTAGAAAATTATTATATGTGGATAAAACAAAACAATACCAGATATTATTAGCGTAACACAATGGTTTATAATCAGAAACAATTTACGATATTATACTTTTTCACCTTTTATCATAAATTTCATGTATTCAATAGATATTCATAGAACAGAATAAAAGGGAAATAATCATAATGATATATAACTATATATATTCTTACCTATATTATTGTATTGCATTTTCACTTTACAAATAAAACATTATTTCCTATTTTGGTCAATTTTATTCCTCTATCTCTTTTCCTCAAAACAAAACAAACATCCAATTAACATTGTTAACCAGCATAAACAGTTATAATATAAGGATAATATTAGTAGTAATAATGATGAGAACTTAAAAGGATTATCAGAGATCTGTTGTATATGAGACTTGTAAAACAAAAAAAATTATATCCAAACAAGAACAAACAAAATGAAAAGGCACATGAAAAACAAAAGGAGTATGATAACGATCCAAATGATCATAACCTCCTTCTTATATTTTTTTTATACAGAATTGAAAAATACTATTTGGTTAGCAATATTAATATTACCAAAAATGTTTGTAGAGATTAACTGGCATGCTGAAATTGAAAAGAAAATGTTCTGAAACGTAAAATTGTTATTATATATAATAAAATTTTTAGACTAGATGATCCGTTCGAAGAAAAGTGGGAAGCAAATGTTATAATTAATAGCAGCGACAAAAAAGCCAAAGTAAGCTGACGGTAGTTCTTTGTCCTTATTTTGTCGTGGGGTTTGTGTGTTCATCTTAGTCAATAAATAAAAACTTCTGCCGCGAGAATTATTCTTTATGGTAACCATTACGAAGTGTTTGTTCAGAATTTCTTTTAGATGGTGGTACTAAATGGGCAGGAAGTGCAGGAGGTAACTCGTAGCCTTCTAGTTTTAATTTCATTATATAACAGACTAAAGCGAATTCATCAGCATCTAGACAACCATCACGATCAATATCACCTAGAATCCAAATATTTTTCAACGCACTATAAGGCAAATTGGATTTGACCATATGACTACGTGAAGCTTCACCGCTGATTTTACCATCCATAGGATTTAGTTTCAGAAACTCCTTTAGAACAAAGAAAATAATGCATAAATATTATCTTATATTATTTATCAATATACAAACAATTCATTGAAACATGGAAATTATTAATTTCCTAAGGTTAGGGTTAAGTTCTAACGGATGTTTTGGATCCCACGTTTACTCTAGACTTCAGATAATGTACCAATCAATATTTTAAAATTATTAAAACGTATTAAAAACTGTTATTTGGCAAAATGAAACGATTGAAGTGCTCCAACTGATAAGTTTTTAAAAATGATTGATCTTTAACTCATAAAAGAACAGACCTAAGTTAAATATATTTATCAACATTGATAGCCGTATTATAACTCGAAAATTCTGATAACTTGAAAATTTTACTATACTAATATATAAGTTGTATTCTCAATTTTCGTCCTTGTACAACACAGTTACATTTTTAATGGTTTGCATTACGAAGTGACCATAATCAGATAACTATTTGAGACTAAGCACCGCTTGAGAGCAGTTTTGTCCTAACATAGGACTCATCACCAGTGGACACTCAAGACATCACCAGGAATTAAACTTAGGATCTTATGTTCTCATGTCGAGAGCTTGACCTTTACACAACTACGGCGGCATCCTTTGGTCTTCGTGTCACAGTGCAATATTTTTATGATGTAGCACACCCATATTTCAATGTAATCGGTAGATAACTGCTGGACTCCCCTGATTACAGTTTCTCACTAGAACTCCGAGAATTACCTATATAAACTAGTTAGTAGAGAGCATACATGGTCATTTTCAGTATAAGATGTTTGTGGAGATTGTCAATTTTTATGGTTTATATCAAAGTCTAAAGATTTAACAATAGCCGCAAAATCCGGAAGTTCTGGTTTTGATTCTCAATAGCAGTGTTCGCAGATGACAAGTCCTTATACTAGGACGAAACGATTATCTAGTGTTTCCTGGTTTTCAATGGCAGTTTATTTAAGGTTAGTTTGTGATGTGAACCATGAAATTTATTTATCTCAATGGATTTCCTAAACTTATTACATTTTTATTTATTTGTGTACATGTATTAGACGAAGGTTTCCTATATCATGAGCAGCTGACCTTACTTTTTGAATATAAATACAAATCAACTAGTGACAAGGGTAAAAATGAATGTCATATTGATTTCAAATTGATTACCATAAAATTCAAAAGAGATCAATACTTCAAAAGGTAATCTTGAATAGGGGTCATATATAAATTTGATACTGTGAATTTTCATGCTGTCTTAAATGTGAGAAATTCATATTCAACAATTGCGTGTCGACAATTGTCAGTTAAGTATGTGACAATCAATTAGTGCTGCAAATTTCGACACACTTCTAGTAAGAATTGATATTAAAGCACAATAATTAATTTAATAAAATTGAAACATAACTGAAATACATCTTGTTAGTGGGACATAGATTGGATGTTTTATGTATGCATGTTTCATGCATGATGGTGTTGCTGCGCGCTGATTGGCTAATTCTAAACCGATCAGCCCGGGCATATTATTGCAGAAAAATCTAGAAGCTTCTTATGTATATACTATAAATATATGAACGTTATTTAAACTAGTGATTGCTGTTCACTTAACATTGTTATTTTTGAATACAATTTCATACCTGTTTAACGTGTTCTGATTTTGGGGTCTTGTCGAGTGTCATCGTATAGGAATACTAAACAATAGGAATCGCTGGGTCGTTTATATAGCAAAATACAATTATAACACATCTAAATGGACATATTTATAGAGAAAACGAAGTTAATTAAAATTCATGGATACCAAGGTATAAAATCAAATACACATCTAAGCATACATTAATATGCAAACGAAGAGAAGAATTAGATGATGAATAGTAGCTTAATGGTTAAAGCAATAGACTGGTATTCCTAAAAGTTACCAGTTTAAACTACGCGTCACTAACTTTTAATTAGGACAGCTAAGTAATACAACTAATACTGATACTAAATGAGTAAATTATAGTCGTGTAGATGACCCAGGATTATGTAATCAAAATGTGTTACCTATGATTGTTTTAAAACTCCATCAAGGTGTGAAATTTTAGTGCCTCAGTTACTGCTATGATTCGAAACGTATTCATGAAATAAAGGTAGTAAGAAGTTACATTAAAAGATATATATAGAAAGAGCAGGAATTGTTTGTCTTAATTCTATCAAAACATTCTATTTCTGTGTAGTGCTCAATCAGTATGAGAAATATGGAATTCAAAATAGTTCAAAATTAGTATCATTAAAGAGGATTCATACATATTTTTTTCTTGCAAACAGATATTATAACAATCCTTAAGAAACAATCTTCTAATAAGTACATTTGATACAATCTAAGATAGAACTACCCTCTTTAAATTACACTGTTGTTTTGACAATTATATAACAAAAATAAACATGTCATATAAAGTATACAGTTGACTTAATTGTCAAATTTATTTCAATGATGAATTTCAAATGGATTAATTTCATCTTATACAAATTTCAAACTTTTTTTGGACACCATATTTCCTTGAAATGGTATAAACAACTTTTTATTTACAATTTAAAATCATTGCTATAATTATCTACAGATAGAAAGAACTGAGTTAAGAAACTGAATACGTACAATTAGTGAAGTAATAATAATTAATATATATATATATATATATATATATATATATATATATATATATATATAAACAACTGGGTACAAGTATTTGTACTAATGTCAGTGAAATCATTCCTTTTTATGTACGATATTAGGACGATATGTGATGGACTAAAGCTGAATGTAAATCCTATGATAATAATAATACTGTAGTGAACAAAACACTAGTTGGGGACAATCGAATGTATTTAAGCAAACATTACAGACTATCTCACTAAATTCTGATAACCATACAGCAAACAATTAATCTTCAAAATAACAACCAATTGTCTCAATTTTCACTGTTCCTTCTGTAAATATCAGTTCATCTTCTCTAATTTCATTGTTTATGTATTTTCCTACCAATTGCGCTTCATTTCAGTTTCTTCCTTATCGGTCTTCTGACAAAATACATTCTATATCTGACCATCACTATATACTACTTATATGGATATAAGTAGATCACACTACAATATTATTACTACTGACTTTATTAAAACATCAATAATTTTTTTGTAATAATTACCAGTAGATATTTTTATTCAATTTTATTTTGATTAACTAGCAGTGTAATTATGTACAACAACATTGGGTTAGTTATTTTGAAAATAACAGCAAAACCCGGAATCAAATTCAATATGATTACGCAATAATTCTGGTTTAAGCATCATAATTTCTATTTTTTTAGGTATATATAAGAAGATTAACACGTCAGTAAACCGGTGTAAATGTGTTATGCTTGCAATCAAACGATTGTGCAAGTGTTTATATATATATAGTTTCAAGCCTGATTTTTGCTATTACCGCTGGTACTGTTACTATTTATACTAATTTGGCATCTTATTGTGCTAAAGTAGTATTGGAGCATAAGCCAACACATATGTGTCAGGTTCTACGTTGTACATTACCAACTAATTGATACTCTTATAGAAAACGTATTACAATCTGATGCATATTTTATATTTCTACTTACTTTATCCCATGGTTCTCTAAAACGATCAACAATCCATTCCTTTTCAAAGCGACCCTCTTCAAATCCTTCACCAGCATGAAAACTGAAAGGTGTACCAGAGGTATCGAATGCACCGCCTGTAACAGCTGCACCATGTGTTTCTACGATTGCATCACGTTCCTATTAAAAAACAAACAGTTACATAGGACGAACGTCAATTTAAATCTATTCAATAAAACTGTTTACTCTATAACAGGCATTAAAATAGTATTTTTTTGAACAAAGGAAGTTCAAATAACTGCCATCATTAATAATATAAAAACAACATGATAGTTAGTTTAACTGAAACAAAATGTTTATTATAATTTCATAGAATGAAAACTAAAACAAATTACTAGTTTTGCATGTACTTATTGATTTCTTAGGAGGAAAATGATTGAAAAACGTGTTAACTTGCACCTGTTTGCCAAATTAAATGTAAAAACTATTATAGAGAAGTATTTCTAATGGTGTTTAGTACTGCCATCTGTATCTAATTATTTGAATGATAATTTATTAGTCAATAGGGATTCCTTTCAATATGGGACAATTTCCTAGATCTACAATGTAATTTGTGGATTGGAAATTCAGACCAGAAATCTATTTCAATCGATCAGATATTATGACACAGGTCGAATACACTACAAAAAAAGACAGTAATTATGTCAAATCATGGGATAACTGAAGTTGGGAAACATGGACCATGAAATTTCGACCCAAATGACTGGATAATTTTGCATTTATAGAAAAGACTGAGAAATGGTAAACTTAAGTGAAATAGATGTCCATAGTTCTTTGAATTTATCTTAAGAAATGAAATTAATGGTATAGTATTGCCGATATTGAAAATCCTCAGTATCAGATATGTGTATTAGTATTTAATGTCGGAAAAGTATGTATTATCATGTTTGACTCTGAATCATTATTTTAATAATAGTAATTCAACCTGATAAATATTAAAAATATCAACAACAAAAACAACCGAATATCAGACATGTATATATATGTCGTTATCTGTGTTCAACAATTTGTATCTAAATCAATGAATTGAAATGACCAACTGATAAAGATAATAATAACAACCAGTTACAATTGATTATGTACATATTCACTGGATAATTAACAATTTATCATTGATAACTTTTAGGCAATCATCGTGTAAAGACAGATTGTAGATTGCCGAATAAACTGAGAGGAATAGAACTTCACACTCTATAGTGTATAAAATATAATTAACACTGTTCTCAATAACATAAAGGAAGAAAAGTAATAAGAAATACTGAAGCAAACTAAAAAGAAATATTAGACGGCAGAACATGAACACATGAAAGAAATCTTTTGTTTCAAATCAATGAGTTTGAGTGAGTGGGTTTAAAGAGCATCAACTTAAGAAGTTCACTACATGAAATTTATCTCAATCAAAGCTACACTGAATAACCCGAGACAAATATCCTATTGTTTTGAATCACCAGAAGTATGGATATTAAAATAATGAGCTTCATTTTACATTTTCGGAACTGTCAGAATTTTAAATTAATGATGCCGCCAAACTCATCATAATTCCCCCCTTACAACTCATAGTTAAACGAGAAGGTTCACATTCGTGAATACTTTTAAACAAGCTCTAATTAAATTATATATATATATATATATATATATATATATATATATATATATATATATATATATATATATATATATATATATATATATATATATATATATATATATGACGAGATTAAACAAAACGGAGATAGTTCCAATTTGAATGAATACAAATTTCTCAATGATGACTGACTCACTGAAGAAAATATGAGACCTGAATATAAAACTCTTTATTGAGTAACTTTACACACTCAACTTTAGGACGTTACCTGTTGAAACGAGGAAAAAATGTTACGGTTTTATAAACAAAATCTGAAGTACGTTTGAGTAGCATTTACGTTTGACGATTTAAAACAAAATGAAATCTAGACACGTAAAACGATAAAGCGATTTTATAAAACAGCAGCAAGAAATATATAGTGTTACCGATAACAAACAAACAATCATGCATTCTAAAACGGAATATTTTCCGTAAATTCATTATATGATTAAGAATATTATATTTATTTTAAGACTTAAATTCACGCGGCGATCTGAACTAGACCACCATTAAAAACCTGAAAGCACTGGACAGTTTTTAATGGTGGTCTAGCTTAGATCGACTTACGAATTCAACCGTCAAAATACTAATATCTCCACAAATCCCCATACTGATATTATACGTATACTTGTTTTTTTTTTAAAAAAAAGCCATTTAGATATAAAAAACAGAGACTCATTTGAATTGCATCCAGGCATAAATAGTTCGTAACTAGTATCTTTTTAGCTATTAGGACACATGTTAGCAAAAAAGGACTTAAATATATATGGGCACCATGAACTCCATTAACGTATCCGAAGTTTTTTGTCTAAGTATTCAAAAACTATAAAGTCAATAAATTTTCTGAGTAAACAATGTTATAACAAATATTGGTTATGTAAATGGAGAGATATTTAAAACAATCCGTTTTTTTAAGAAATATTATCCAAAACGGTATATTTTTACAGGAAATTTTTACACATAATGGAATAAAAGAGGGTTGTGAAGTGATGAAAGGAGAGTAGGTCAGATGTGACCATACTCTATTTAAAAGGTATGATCTGAATAAATCCAAAGGATTTCCAGAACACAATCCATGTGAAAGAAATTTACGGTGATGCCTAATATATGTTCTAAATTTATGTTTACTCTGGAGAGAGTGAAGAAATTAACCATCTTGACTATTCCACACACATCTGACCTATTCTGGTTTATTGAACAATAAAATATCTGAAGAGACAATGAATCCATTCTAACTGACATCAAATTTGAAAGACCTATATGATAGGAAACATGTCTATCAGAAGTAGAGTATACTGTGAGATATTTCACTTTGTATCACTTCAAATCGGTAAATAACTGTCATTTAAAGTAAAAGGTATGAATAAGTCATTAATATCTTGTGAAACACATTTTTGAGGTAATTTTTATGTATGATGAAATCTACTGAGCATAAATTTAAGACGATAAGTCGGTTGATGAAGCTGCAAACCTTCTACCATTTAGGTGACCAAGGTGTTTATTATATATATGCAGCTACCACTCACCACTGAACATATTGACTAGAATAAGAGCAGACTGGAAAAAGGTAGAAACCCGGGTGATATCAAGATATAGCATCACTTCAAGAAGTCACTAACAGTTAGTCTGAATTGTGTAGGAATGTGCAAATTTCCTATTCGCGTACGCAAGATAACCATGATCCATTGTCAGAGAACAGATTAGATAATGTAAAATCGTCTGTAATGCAGGGAATGTATTCATTCTGTATTTTCTACAGCTTGATGACATTTATTGCGTTAGACTCATTCTTCTAGAAGTTTTTTCTTTAGTTTTTAACTAATGGTAGCATCATCCTGTGGATCATATCGATCTCACTTTAGTGTCCTGATGTGAATTTTTGAAAAATCAAATAAATACACATTTCTGAAAAGTTTCATCGCTATGTTATAACTGTTTCATCATTTCACCTTGGCAGAAACGTAGATTTTTTCATTTGAATCGCTATTATATTTTCCAGTCAGAGGGAGAGATAGAAACAAACTAAAATTTGAGATGTAAATATATCCGAGCAGTGAATTGACGCACTGATTCATCAGTTCTATAACTATTGAGAAAATATCATATGAAGAAGAATTTGTATCTAAAAGGATGAATAAGCCCCAGATTATTAATGGTTACATAGATGAAATCATTTATTAAAATCATGTAAGAAGTATTATTAGAGATATCAGAATATATATATATATATATATATATATATATATATATATATGCCCTGACTTAATTAACATTATACGTAAACAAATATTTGTATAGTAATTATGATTACTATTGAAAGGTCTTGGGGTTAACTAATGATTATATCAATGAAAGCAACTAATTAAAATATGAATACGCATCTGACATAGATTATCATCAAAATGACCATACTTACGTATTGTTGAAAAGGTGTATGTTGATCAATTTCGAATTTAACAATCAACAACATATGACTCGTATCAAATGCATATATATATTCTAATGGCAAAAACACATTATTATTATTAGTAGTAGTAGTAATAGTAGTGGTGGTGGTGGTAACACTATTTATCTAAATCTGTTAGGCATTTTACATTATAGAACAAATATTGCAAATTTTTATTAACAATAATAACATTATATATGGTTTTTAGTCCAGTTGTTAGTTTAGGGTCACTAAAGTAGATCGATTTAACTTGATATTTTTTTCTGATACATTTAACCGATTAGTAGGAATATAACTATTATACATGTTGGTTGTATACTAAGTTATTATGTATTAGCCTACCAAAATAATTGTTATTTGTAAACCATATAGACGATTTCACGCTTAGAAATTTATAGTACCATTTATTTACTGGACTATTCTTGTGAGCCATTATTAGTTACAGACATTCTTTGTGTATTTAACTTAGTAGTGTTGTTTAATTAGATCATAAAACTTTTTAGTCTTGACACCCAGTGGGATCCAGGATCTTTTAACTGATTTACATATTAACTGGATCTAATCATAGATTAAGGTTTTGACATTATTTCTGATATATGAATGCAACTGATGGTGCTTAGATTCTTAAAGTGTGATCTACTGAGATATAAATTAGAATAAACAGCCCATGTCAAATTAGAAACGATCAGTAGAAAGGCTGATTGTTAGATTACATTCCTATTTAGAGAAGTTACACGTACGTTTATACATCATTGAACAATTTAAGTAGACGGTCACTATTAAAACTAGTATTTATTATATCAAGGTTATCCAAATCACTAAACGGTTATTTGCAAACAGACTCATCAATGACAAACACAAATTCGTCTTAACTACCACAACTATCTAAACCACTTCATCAATTCCGCCTCAAACAGTTGATCTAAATTAGTTTATTGGTTAATATATAGCTATTTAAGCATTTATATTTGGAGGTCAGATATCTCAATTAAATGATTGATAGTTCAAACACAGCCGAGAAAATACTACATACATTGCAAACATCTAACA